AAGCTTTTAACAGTCTCAGTTGTAGTTTTTTAAAAGGTATGTACTTTGCCTTTTTGTATTCATGTTTTAAAAATGCTACAATTATAATATTTATTTTCTACTGTAACTATATTAAACATCTTTTAAGAATTTCCTGGCCATCTAGAAGGTTATTATATTTTCTTTCCCTGACAATTAAATTGACAAAATTCCCTTGTAGGAAATTAGAAAATTTTGGAAGGGTAAAGAACAAATTTTAAAACATCCATATTCAAATCCCTGTCTTAATACACACACACATTCCAATATATACAAGTAATAATTTTTACTAAATTGAACACCTAATGAATATACTCTTTCGAGAGTGTTTTCTTTCTTTTTTTTTTTTTTTCCTGAGACAGAGTCTCACTATGTGGCCCTGGCTAGAGTGCTGTGGCGTCAGCCTAGCTCACAGCAACCTCAAACTCCTGGGCTCAAGCGATCCTACTGCCTCAGCCTCCCAAATAGCTGGGACTACAGGCATGTGCCGCCATGCCTTGCTAATTTTTTTATATCTATTTTTAGTTGTCTAGCTAATTTATTTATATTTTTAGTAGAGACAGGGTTTCACTCTTGCTCAGGCTGGTCTCCAACTCCTGAGCACAAATGATCCTCCCGCCTTAGCCTCCCAGAGTGCTAGGGTTACAGGCGTGAGCCACCACACTGGCCTAGAGTATTTTCTATATATTGTTTTTACTATACGTTGTTGGCATGCATTTTTGCTGATCACTAAATATTTTTTGAGAACACAATTTAACATTTTAATATTTAATATTAACATATGTAATATGCAATACATTTATACTGATGGTCCCTGACTTATGATAATTTGATAGGATTTTTCAAATTTATGACGGTACGAAAGTGATGTGTATTTAGTAGAAACGGTACCTCAAGCGCTCATACAACCATTCTGTTTTTCACTTTCAGTACAATAGTTAATAAATTACAGAAATATTCAATACTTTGTTATAAAATAGGCTTTGGGGCCAGGCATGGTGGCTCATGCCTGTAATCCTAGCACTCTGGGAGACCAAGGCAGGAGGATCACTTGAATTTAGGAGTTTGAGACTAGCCTGAGTAAGAGGGAGACCCTGTCTTTACTAAATATAGAAAAAATTAACTGGGCATGGTGGTGCACATCTGTAGTCCTAGCTACTAGGGAGGCTGAGGCAGGAGGATTGCTGGAGCCCCAGGAGTTTGAGGTTGCAGTGAGCTATGATGATGTCACTGCACTATAGCTGGGGCAACAGAATGAGACTTTGTCTCAAAAGAAAAAAAAAAATAGGCTTTCTGTCAGATGCTTTTGCCCAACTATAGGCTTATATTAGTGTTTTGAGCATGCTTAAGGTAGGCTAGGCTAAGCTATAAGCTATGATGTTAGGAAGGTTAAGTATATTAAATGTATTTTCTTCTTAAGATATTTTCAGCTTATGATGGGTGTATCAGGACGTAACCCATCATAAGTTGAGGAGCATCTGTAATTATGTAGCCCAATAATAAAACAAACCCATTCCTCAACTTGAGAACTCAACCATTATAATACCTTTGAAGTTACCAGTGTGTTCCCTGCTGCCACCTGTCCCACCCATGGTAACCACTACCCTCAAGTTTGCATACTGTCATTGACTTCTTTCTTTCTTTTTATTTTTTTATTTTTAAATTTTTTTTGTAAACAGTTTTCAGAATTTTTTTTTTAGTGTTTTTATATGTGTTTCTCCAAACAATGTATCATTGAGTTTTGCTTGGTTTTGAGCTTTAAATAAATGATATCATACTACATTATTTTTAGTAGTGGTATGAATCTTACAAAATTTGTTTAAACTGTTCTCTACTATTAGATATTTGGAAAGTTTTCTGCTGTTTTACAAAGAACTTGTACATTAATCTTTGTATGTATTCCCCATTATTTCCTTAGGAATAATTTCTAGAGGTGAAATTGTTGGGTTAAAGGGTAAGAACACTTTTAAGGCTTTTTTTTTGTAATTGTACATCAGGAAATGTGTTCATCTAGAAGGTTTTAATAAAACAAATAGATTTGCCTGGCAGATAATTATAAATCATTACTAGCTTTCCATTTTAATGGTCTATAAGAATACACAAATTTTCTAGTGGCTTATCAAATTTAATAAATCCAAATTCCTCAGTATTTCTTTTTTTTTTTTTTTTTTTTTTTTGGAGACAGTCTCGCTTTGTTGCCCAGGCTAGAGTGAGTGCCGTGGCGTCAGCCTAGCTCACAGCAACCTCAAAATCCTGGGCTCAAGCAATCCTTCTGCCTCAGCCTCCCAAGTAGCTGAGACTACAGGCATGTGCCACCATGCCCTGCTAATTTTTTCTATATATATTAGTTGGCCAATTAGTTTCTTTCTATTTATAGTAGAGACAGGGTCTCGCTCTTGCTCAGGCTGGTTTCGAACTCCTGACCTCGAGCAATCCGCCCGCCTTGGCTTCCCAGAGTGCTAGGATTACAGGCGTGAGCCACCGGGCCTGGCCTAAATTCCTCAGTATTTCTGACTTCCCTGCAAGCTATTCTGTTTTTGTCACACTGTGGCATTAATATCCCCTCAGTTCCTCAGGCCAGAAACCTTAAAAACACCTTCTCTTGTCTTCCACACCTCCATTTCAGTCACCCCATGCTCATACTTCCTCTTAGTCAGTCTTCAAGTTCTGCTAGTTCTACCTGCAATATCCCTTGAATTCATCACTTCCATTCTTATAAACACTGCTGTATTTCAAATCCTGCTAATCCATGGAATGTGAACCATTCCACAGCCTCCTAACTAGGCTCCTACCTGTCTTCAGTCTCTTGCCTTTCTAATCAGTTCTTCACTCTGTAACTTCCTCAAAACACAGACTTATCTTTAAAATGGAAACCAGAAATATCTGCTAACCCTCCATAATCCATGTGATTGGATTATGAAGTGTGATAAGGTCCACACTTCTTAGTTGTTATAGGCAAAGCCCTTGATCTAATTTAACCTTCCTCTTCAGCTTTATTTCCTTATGATCCTTCCTCCGCAGCCCACCCCAAGAACTCTATGTTTTGTACTCTAGCCAGTTGAGCCTACTTGTTCTTGGTATATTTTCTTTTTTCGTGGTACTCCCTCAGCCTAGGATACCCTTCATCTCCCTTCCAGCCTGTGGAAACGCTACTCATGCTTCCAGGTTCCACAGAAATACTAGCTCCTCCATGGAATTGTACATCAATGTAAGTTATCATAGTTATACATCAATGAGTCCAGAATGGTTACTTCTCTCAAAATATTTTGAATGTTGTTACATACCAAAAATATATTTATAAATAATGCTGGGTAGAAATAGCAGAACAAAAACTATTTTAAACACATCCATTACAATAGATAAAAAAACTATATATGTATATGTGTGTGTGTATGTATATGTGTGGGTCTTTCTATATACATGTATATGGAGAGAAACAGAGGCAAAGACAGAAACAGAGGCTGTTAGGAAGACAGGGAAGACATATAAATACTTGAGCCTGGTATTTATTAAGCCATCTAAAATTCTTTTTGGAACCACACAGTATGAAAACTTTTTCAAAATTTTAATAATATTATGATACTTGTTAGGTTCATTTTCTTTCATAAAGATGCTTACTTGGGCTTAAATAGGTTTCCATTTTGAGACTTAACCATATTTGGTCCAGTTGCAGGTGGCCAGCTACTTGTTCCTCCTTCCCATTTCAGTGTTGGCTAGCCAAGTTAGGGGGCCCTTGTTCCTTTGCCAGATCTTTCTACTCATAGTCACAGGTGGTGAACATCCATTCAACTGTAAAATGAAAACATTGTACTAGATGATTGTTAAATTTTGAAATATTTTTTGCTCATGAGAGAGAAAAATAATCTTAAGGTTAAAAGCAAGTACTAATTTGCTTTCTGCTCTAGCACCCTCATTAGTGTCAAGCAATCAGTTGTCCCTTTTCTTAACTCTGAACTGCCAGTATGTGTTGTGTGAGAATTAATACATTTGGCTTCTGATGCAAGTACACTACTACCTCTGTGGCCTTGGGTGTACCTGCTTCTGTCGCCTAGGCCTCTGCCAATCTGTAAAATTATAAGGGTGAGACTAGATGCTTTTTGAGGTTCTTTGTAGCTTTAATATATTATTTAGGATTTTTTTTTATACTGTAGGCACTGGTCCATTTTAAAGTTAAGAAATAGGTAGAATGGGACTACTCACAAAATATTTTCTCTTCACAAAATAGTGTAGATAGCACAGTGGAGCATTTGAGTATACAAACAGATATGAGCAATTAAGAAATGTCCTAATTCCATCACTTACTTCAACTTACCATATTTTTCTCTTCTGATGTGTATTTCTCAAGTCTTCTAAAATTATTACTTTGTAGTAATATAAACTGGAATATTTTGAATATATCTTGTAGAAAATTAACATGTTGGTGTAGATTTCAAATATGCATACTAATTCAGATCAGTCTAGCAGTAGTAGACAATGTTTCAAAATATATGAACTCCAGTAATCATTATAGATTTGCTTTGTTAAAAAAGAGACTCAGAACAAGAAGAAGAAGGCCCAATTTTAATTTCTAAGGGACAAACTAATCTTTGATATATGATGTTTGAGTTCAGAGTTGCTTCTGGCAAACATAATTGTTACTGCTTAAACAAGTATTTCTTTTTTAGTAATTAGAATTTTTTCTCATTTTGATGGGTAGTCATAAATATTAACCACCAGCAGTGCAGGAATAATTTATATTCAAATTGTCAGACATAACTCTGTGAACACATAAAATAATTTACATTTATTTAGAACCTTTTATCCTAAAATGCTCTACACATATTTCTTTATAATCTGATTGCAAGCTATACATAGGACTCTCCTACCTGCAATAGGGCAGCAACCAAAGTAATTAAAATAAAGGACATAACTTCACAAAAAGTAGACAAAAGAAGGAAATGTAGTATTTTTTACTTTGTTCCTATATGCTCTTATGCCTGTAGGATTGGAGAATCCATGTTGACCAAATGCACCAGCACAAAAGTGGAATTGAATCTGCTCTAAAGGAGACCAAGGTATGTGAATTACCTCAGATAAAACAATATATATTTACTCATCCATAGAATATGTATTATGGGAGAACATGAAATTTAAAAAGATGCAATTCTTGCCTTTCAGGAACTTACTAATTGAATGTACCATATTACATTTCAACAGCTCTAACACTTAAACCAACTAAAGAAAGCTACCTTATATAAAAGCTGTGTGTGTGTGTGTGTGTGTGTGTGTGTGTGTATGAGAAACATTTCATTATTCTTTTCCTCTCTGAATCCCAAGGGATGAGAGAACCAGCCAGCAATGCCCAGACCTACAGCTTCCCCAGGTTTGCTGCCCTGCCAGAAATAGGGATTTTTGGAGGATGCCACAAAGACGGAAAGGAAGAGGGGAAAAGTTTTGGGTCCCAGGCTGGGGCTGTAGGTTTAGGGATCTGCTTTCAACTGAGATATTCCAGTCATCTTTGAATTGTGCTATAAGAAGTTCATGTTATTCCCTATGTACTTTGTAAACTATATATAAAACTAATTACAATCACATAAATTTTAGGTATGCATAATGACTAATAAATTGAACAATACCACCAGGTACATTTTTATTTGAATTTTCTATAAAGCATGAATAAAATATCTTTCTCTTTTTTTTTTTTTTTTTTTTTTTTTTGAGACAGAGTCTTGCTCTGTTGTCTGGGCTAGAGTGCCATGGCATTAGCCTAGCTCACAGCAACTTTGAACTCCTAGGTTCAAGCAATTCTTCTGCCTCAGCCTCCTGCGTAGCAGGGACTATAGGCATGTGCCACCATAGCTAGCTAATTTTTCTATTTTTAGTAGAGATAGTTAGAGTCTCACCCTTGCTCAGGCTGGTCTTGAACTTCTGACCTCAAGCAATCCTCCAGCCTCAGCCTCCCAGATGGCTAGGATTACAAGGCATGAGCCACCACGCATGGCTTTAAAATATTTCTCAACACAGACATTTTTTGCTATTGAAAATTTCAAACTACCTTCTTTATCTCATTCAGTTGATCATTTGTAGAATGGATTGAGAGAGAGTTAACACATTTTTAACTGTTTTTGAGACATTTATTTGTGAGTTCTTTTATCTACTAAAATCCTATGGAATTTTTAGGGATTTTTGGACAAACTCCATAATGAAATCAGTAGGACTCTGGAAAAGATCGGCAGCCGAGAAAAGTACATCAACAATCAGCTTGAGCACTTGGTTCAAGAATATCGTGCAGCTCAAGCCCAGCTGAGTGAGGTAATTCAAGAATGATTTTCATGGATTTATTCTAATTAATGACCCTACACCCTAAACTTGACACAATAATTTTCATTTGAGAATCATGAGATGCTTTTCATAAACAACATATCGATTCTCTGCCCACTTTAGGAAGCTAAGCGAGGCAAGTAAACTTATCTCCATTTTAAATGTAATAGAAATTGTTATCTACTAGAAGTCTTTAAATACTCTTTTTCATTTAATTTAAGTGAATGAAGGTATATACTGTTGGGGAACATCACTGAGAATAAGAGCAAAGTGTCAGGACACCTGATTTTGTTTCTGGAACATGAAAGCAAGACACATTCAGAGACAAGCAATTTAATTAATGAAATGAGTCAAATTTTTCATTCAAATAAAATAAAACCACTAGGCTTTGAAAGTACCAGTTCTTTATCCCAGGGTTAGGGATCTAAAGGCTTTCCTTTGGGATTCATGTTCCCTATTTCCTGATGGTAAAGACTAGTAAGAACACTTGCAAACATCAGTTGAAGGCATATTTTTTTTCTTCCAGTAGGCAAAGTTAGAAGGAGAAAAAAGTATAAATAAATTTGAGATACTTCTGTACTTTCAGAAGAAAGTAATCTTTACTTTTTTATTATATTATTTGTTTATTCCCTCATATACACATTTATTCATGGTTTTTTAAATTTAAAAATGCTATAAAACTATCTGATTAAAACCACCATATATGTCTAACATTAATATTAAGTAATTGTTCATTTCCAAGAACATATTCCAGTTGATTGTACTGTCATACTGCTTGTTAATCCTTATTAATTGCTGAGCCTGATACTCTACTTTGATTGATTTTTTCTTTTTTTAGAACTGATTTTCTCTGCATAGCATGCAAATTAGGTTGACCAAGAGCCACTCTCCTAAACTGTTTAGGGATGACTGAGGACAGTTTTTATTGTGAACCATGCCCATGCGACTTACATAGTCAGTTATGAAGGTTAAGGTAGTTCATCATTTTGTAGTGCCTTAGTTAAATACATGGTGCCTAATAGGGACATAAAATAGCTGCAGTTAAATGTCACTTTCATAAATGTATTCACAAACCAGAAGAGGGGTTGACATAAAATGATATGCAAAAATTATAAACACAAAGAGGTCATATTTAAGTAATCTGCTTCTGTTTTGAATTTGTCATTAAACAAAATGTCTTTCCCCTCAGGCAAAGGAGCGATACCAGCAGGGAAACGGAGGAGTAACTGAAAGGACCAGACTGCTGTCGGAGGTGCACACCCCTGCTCTTGCCTTGCTTCTCCCCTGTCTGCTGGGCCCTGGCCCTTCAGAGCTGGCAGATGGTCTAATACTGCTTATTTCAATTGTTTCCTGTGCCCTTAAATCATTTGCTTTAGGAGAAAATCCTTAATTTTCTTATCTATGAGTCAATTATTTATTCATACATTTCTTGTTTCCATAAGATGCCTGAAGTTGCTGTATTAAATTCAACATAAAACCTGCTTATAATATTAGCACACTTATAACCTTCCTTAATCTTTATTTTTTTACATAATAATTATAATTAATATAGTGAATAGTAAGTAAAGCACTGGCTTAGGGAATCTATAACAAATTTTAATGTTAGTCTGCAAGATATAAAGTTTATTTTTAATGATTGTTGTTGGTGACTTATGTGTGATATTGGGTATTTCTCTGTCCGCAATTAAGAAAGTGTTCAAGCAATCCTCCTGCCTCAGCCTCCTGAGTAGCTGGGACTACAGGCATGAGCCACCATAGCCAGCTAATTTTTCTATTTTTAGTAGAGATAGTAGAGTCTCACTCACTCTTGCTCAGGCTGGTCTTGAACTCCTGACCTCAAGCGATCATCCTGCCTCGCCAGCCCAGAGGACTAGGATTACAGGCATGAGCCACCACGCCTGGCCTTAAAATATTTCTCTTATAACCTCCCCCTTCTGAGAACTTGTAGAATATTTCCATATATTTTTGCATTTATTTTCATGATCTTGCAAGAGAGGTAAGACCTGATATATATTCTGATTTTTCTCCGAAGGGCTGAGGTGTAAAAAGCCTTCAAACAAGGTCAGTAGCAATTTGGGACTAAAATCTAAGATGATCTTTGGCTACAATCCAGTATAATTGTCACAAACTTTCCTGTTTTGATAGGAAAGCATTAAGCTTCTTTTATAGAGATTATTTGAGGAATAAATAGTTATTTTAAAATACTAAATATATAACATTAGAAATATTTAGACTGTAATCCTGTGGTGCTTCTAGGCAAATAAAACGGTATGTAGAAGCAAAGTGCTCACTTATGTTAGGTAAATTAACACTTGAAGGGAGTCCAGGGAACCATTTAGTTCTTTTGGAGTAGATAGTTATCCCCATTTGTAACGTTTCAGGTGCCTAAAAAAAAATTAATTTGCTTTACTTGGATGAGCATTTTCTTCCCAGGGAAGGTTTTACTCACCAGTATGATAAAAATAAAGCCTACTAAGTTACAATAATTATAGCTTAGTTCTAGATCATATAAAATTTTTTGATTTTTTAAAGATGCTATTTTCTATCTATATTAATGCTGGTTGTGGATTTTTGCTAATAATAGAGTCTATAGTAGTATAATCTTGACATAGAGTGTAGGTAAGAACCAGTATGACAACACAGTATGTCTCTTGGACTTTGGAAAAGTTCGTGGTTTGAATAAAGCAGTAGAACATTTTTATATGTAGCCATGTGATATAAACTTTTTTTTTAGTGTTCTATAGAGAAAAGGTGACATAGACTCTTATAGAACTATAATATAATAGTAAGAAAGTATCTAGAAAACCTTTAGAAATGCAAAATCTCTTAGGATGTTTATACCATTTTAATTAATAACTAATCGTTAGAGAACGACACAGTGGATGCTATGAGATAATTGCAAGATTTGAGTGCCTTGTGCCTGAAACAATTTTGATTGTTTTTGTTCTGTTATGTCACAACCTGAGAAATCTAATGTGAAAGGAATTTGGTGAAGTTTAGCATTGGGGGCATTCTCAGAAGATGAAAAGCTTTGTATAACTGCATATTTTATCTTACTATTTGAATTATGTCCAGAATATTCCTAATATCTTTATTCCCCTTTATTTATGTCTAATATCTAGGTTAAATTTTCTCAATACATCATTCAAAAATTTTGAAAGTTTATTAATAGTCAGTGCTTATAAAAACTTTTTTCTTAATGAAAGGTTACAGAAGAATTAGAAAAGGTAAAACAAGAAATGGAAGAAAAGGGCAGCAGCATGACTGATGGTGGTGAGTACACACTCATTTTGAAGACAAAAAGTAAGCAAGAGAAAAATAGCTCTTCAAGAAACCTGTTTACACAAAATAGTACTAATAAATAGGAACTTTACATTTTAAAATGAATTATTTGTTACTTGTTTGAAGAGAGGTACATGGTAAAAAATATAATGTGTGATAATCAGTATACTGTTTTCCTTGTAAATCAGCTGAGAAGAGTAAATTTTTTTTTACTGTAATTTACAGTTTTTTTTTAATTCAAACTGTATTGATTCAAAATAGAGTGGGGAAATATTTAAATGTGTGCTTTGCTACGCCAATTTAAAAAATAATATTTTATTCTGTTATCTAAAATTAGCTTCATTTTTCCATTTTAAATATGAAAGGGCACTAAGTATGTGCCCAAATAACACTAACGCAGGGATGTGGTGACCTTTGTTTTGTTTTCCCCTCCCCAGTAGACTTGACTGGGCAGAGGTCAAATAGAGAAGAATTAATAATCCTCCATAATCATCATCCATTGTGAGCTGGTTACTTTCACATGGGCCAGTGGTGATTGTCTAAGCCTTTTCTATGTCCCAGAAAGATTTTCTGGAGTTCTAATAAAATATAATGAGTGATCTTACAAAAGGGGATATGTAGGGCTTTTTTGCCAATATGTTTTAAATGGGCCCATTATCTATATTTCAAAGGTAATTCTCTGTTCCCCCTTTCCCCCTTTGTATCCACTTTTCCTACAGACACATATACTAGCCCATAAAATCATCTTGAACACATTCTAAACACCCGTTTATCAACTCTTCCCCTATAAAAGGAAGAACTTTTAGCCTTAGTACATCAAATACTGCATCATTTTCCATCCTAAAAATCTCAGGTGCTTAAAATGCCACAGCCAAAACTATGTGAATGTCAGTAAGTTGTTGGCTGTGTTTTTAACCGTTTTTGGCTTAAGACAAAGTGAGGAAAATGTCATGCAATTCTGTAATATACTGCTACTCCAATGAACATTTTGATTCCATGTTATTTTCATTCTGTAGCTCCTTTGGTGAAGATTAAACAGAGCTTAACAAAACTGAAGCAAGAAATTATTCAGATGGACATTAGAACCGGTGTTGTGGAACACACGTTACTCCAGTCAAAACTGAAGGAGAAGTCCAACATGACCAGGGACATGCATGCGACAATTATTCCAGAATCAGCTATCGGCTCTTATTAAAACATACTGTTTTCTTGCTTCTGATTAGTTGATTTTTTATATCATATTCTATTTCATGTTGCAGAGATTTAAAAACACACACTACACTTCTTAAAGCATGTTCAATGGTTTTTTGAACATGCTTTTACATATATACACACATAAATTGTATCATGGTGATTATGATGGTTAAAGCCTTTACATTGAATATAATGTTTAATAAAGTAATTAAAAATTCTTACTTTCAAAGAAGTTTCATTAATTATTACCTATGTCAAGCTCCTGCCTAGCAGCTCATTTTTCTTAGTGGTCCTTGCATAAGGCAATGTATGTAACTCATACTTTCTGTAGATGCTGCTGCTGTCACCACATGTACTGTTGACACAGGCCTTCACTTTGCTCCATCCACCTCTGCAGTGATCACAAGTGCTTTTGTGCCCAGAGGCAGCTAAAGATAGGTGCCTCCCTAATTTATTCTGCTGCTTGAGGATAGAACAAAATCTTTTTTATTTCCATATTCTTAACCAAATACCTAGTACATAGAAAGTGGCCAGTTAATTTTTTTAGTATGTAGATGAGTAGATTACTGGCATTATACTGGCATCCACAGTATCTTCTAACTCCTATTCTATAGCATGAAGAATGTAATGACTTTGACCCTGTGTGCTTGGTATAGTTTCAAGATAGTAACTAAAAATTATGATTTTTTTGCTATGGTATTAGATTGGAATTGGAAGCATTAATATGAATTCACGGGGTTTTAAAAATATGTATGGGTTAATATAAACATAGAAATATTTATAAATGTAGAAATAAACACACACACATACATACATATATTTCCTAGTTCTGTCCTCTGAGAGAGCCTAGAAGCAGTGACAGCCCAACAACTGTGTACATAACCTAGCATTCAGATCTTGGTGTCTAAATGCTCTACTTTAAAAAAATACAAATTTTTTAGAAAAATGGCTGATTCCTGTTTTGGGGCAGGGAAAGCACAAGATGAGCCTAAATTTTCTTGTTTTGCCAGGAAATAAGGAACTACTCAAAGAAAGATGGGGAAATGGCTAAAGGACAAGCCTGATTGAGGGGTATCCCGTCAGCCAATCTGGGGCTATTTGAGCATCAAAGTGAATCATCACAATAATGAATTATAATCCATAGAATAAGAAACCATGAGCCATACAGATATAAATGAATGAATGAATAAACAGGGGGATGATAAAGGTCTTCCTTACAATAGAATGACAGCTCATGTAGAAGCAATACCAGATTAAAAAATCACCACCTGGCAACTATCATAGTATTGTAGTAATTGTTTTAGGCAAGAATTATGAATGGATTCTAAAAATAGGTGAAAGTTTAATGAGAAACAGGATATTTATAATACATAATTTCAATGTATGTGAAATACTCCACAAAGGAAAAAATTATAACTTTACAGTAGAAAAACCTAGCAGACACCACTTTAAGTGATCAAAGTTAACATCACCAATAATGGGAAAAATAGACATCAAATGCTTTCTGCAAAGGGCACACAATTACCTGATTCCTGCTGAAAATGAATAACCTGAATCTAATCATGAAACATCAGATGAATCCAAATTGAAGGATTTGTACAAAATGGCTTATATTCTTCAAAAATGATAAGGTCATGAAAAATAAGTACTAAAGAACTCTTCCAGAGTAATGGAGACTAAATGCACAGACAACTAAATGCAACAAGGAATTCCAGATGGGACCTGGGCCAGGCAAAAATAATAATAATATTTATATAGTTTTAAAGGACATTGTTGACACAACAAGGAAAATTTATATGTAGTCTATAGATTGGAAAATAGCATTAATTTCTTGATTTTTATATTTGTGCTTTAGTTACATGAAAGAATATCCTTGCTTTTTAACAATGAAAGTATTTTGTTCTAAAGGGTATCATGTCAGCAGCTTACTCTCAAATGATTCAGGAAAAAAATGTGTGTGTGAGTGTGTGTGTGTGTGTGTGTGTATTCACACATACAAAGAGAGGGGGAGAATGATAAAGAAAATGTGGTAAATTATTAACATTTTGGTAATCTGGGAGAAGGCTATACTGAAATCCATTGGAATTTTTTTAACTTTTCTATAAGTATGAAATTATTTCAAAATAATGAAGTTTAAAAATACAAAGATGATATGTTCTGTATAGAAATTAGCCTCTCTCAGAATCAAATAGCTAATCAACTTGTTGAAATAGTATGACCTCCCCAATAAAATTCTGTGGCCCATTGAACAAAATTTAAACTTATAATTTTATAAGCATTGACTCACAGGCCAAGTTGTGCAACTTTTTGAGAACTCTAAGGATATATTTTTCTACTTCCCTCTAATTTATCTAGGTCAACATTTCCCATGAGTTTTACACAAAACAAAAAGTTTTGTAATCAGAAGTTTGAGAAATGTCAGATTTCATTTTCTTCAGGATTTTCAGTCTACATTGTGAATCTGTAAGCAGTGAATGTAGTTCCCTTATTTTTTACAAACATATAATTATTCCCTAGTATCCATGAAGGATTGATTCCAGGAAGCCCCTATCCCAAGGATACCAAAATCTGAGTGTGCTCAAGTCCCTTATATAAAATTTCTCAGCCCCCTGCCCCTCAATTCTTATTTCATAGACTTGGGTGGGACTAAGGGTAGGATCAGAAATTGTAAAAAGCTCCTCGGGTGACCTTGATGCAGCTAATCTAAAAACTGCTTTAGGGAGCCAAAAAAAAAAAAAAAAATCTAGAAATTTTCCCTGGCTATGAGTAAACAGGATCTGAAAAGGTCTTTAAAGAGGACCTCTTAAAGTATTGCTTATGGATTACCTTAATGTTAGCCCTACCTGGGGGGATTTTTAATAAGTACCCTAGATGACTTGATACATACTGGAGTTTGAGACATAATAATATCAAAAACTGTCACTTAAAAAATCAGAAAACCAAAGCCCACAAAGATTAAGCAGCCTGCACATTTATAAAGCAAGGTAACAAACTACACAGATTCCCAAATGGTTTTCAGTGTAGTTTGGAGCAGCCCCTTTAGAAGTTCGTATCCACAACTCCCGTCTGTCACCATCCTTTCCATCTGTATCCCAAAGCAAGATTATACAGTCATGGTTCTGTTTATGTCCAAAGACATTTTTCCCCTACTCCCTATGTAAAGGCTTGCACATAGAATACTGCACCAGGAGTCCAGATACCTTAATTCTAATCCCAAATTTGCTGGTAGAAGGTTGTTGGTTTTTCACACCAACAACCAATTCTCTAATTCTTCGGATACCAACTATGTGTACAACAATTCAATTCTGATACTAAATACTCAGAATTGGCACAGATCCCACATGTGAGAGGCTCAGCCACACAAGACTGCCCCGCTCCAGACCCCAATCACGACTCTGGGCCTTCCACACACTGGACAACCGGCTGTAAATTTGAGATTCCCTCGACCTCCTCCTCAGGTTTGATCATTTGCTATAACACCTCACAGAACTCAGAGAAACCATTTACTTATGGTTACCATAAGGATACAGGTAAACAGCCAGATGAAAGGTACAATACATAGGGTGAGGGACGGGAAGAGTGTGCAGCTTCTACACCCTCTTCAGGCAGGCCAGTGTCCCAGCACCTCCGTGGGTTCACCAACCTGGAAGCCGTTTCTATTCATGTCCAGTGACTTCCCCCCCACACACACACTCCCTATGTAAAGGCTTGTGTATAGAAAGAATACTGTGCCAGGAGTCCAGCCACCTTAATTCTAATCCCTTAATTCTAATCTTCATTTAGAGTTTTTATGGAGGTTCCATTACACAGCCATGATTGATTATATCATTTGCCATTGATGATTGTACTCAAGCTCCAGCCCCTCTTCCCTCCCTGGAGGTCAGAGGGTGGGGCTGAAATTCTTTCTAATCACATGGTTGGTTCCTCTGGCAACCAGCCTTTACCCTCCAAGAGACTCAGGTATGATGAAAGGGGCTTATTATGAATAAGAACAGATCCTCCTCTCATCCCTATCACTAAGGAAATTACAAGGGTTTTCAGAGCTCTGGGCCAGGAACTGAAGACAAAGACCAAATACGTATTTATTCTACCACAATATCACAGTCACCTTCTGCAAGACTCTTAGGATATCACTTATCCTCGGTGTAATCTTTTCTTCGGCAAGGGTAAGTGCAGGACTAGAATATTCTGAGTGCTTTCAGTCCTAAAATCTCATGATTTAAAATATTTACTGGGCTCTCTTCACTGTTTATGATAACTTACAACAGTGTGCTGAAGTCAGGTCTGACCATCTCCAAAGAGCAGGTTGTCAGATAGAAACTTGCAGAGCCATTTGTTAAACTGTTGGTATCTTAAAACCAGCCTGTGATGAGAGTACTGTCTTTACACCATGGAAATAGGAAAACACCTCAGATTAGGACTTTAAAAAACAAAAACACACCAAAAGAGAGCCAATTTATCAGCATGCCACTGATAACAAGTGTTAAATTGTTCCACAGACCAGAACCAAATACAGTAAATATATAACAGAATGTTCTACCATATTTTAAGGTAGATTATTACAGCACTAATTGAATTAGACCAGATTTGTAAATTGTTCTCAAAAATCATTAAGTCTACATAAAGCCACTCAGTGTGTCAAATGCACATCCCCTGCACAATTTTATTGATATTCCTTTACTGGCTTCCTATCACCAATTCCTTTTTACTGCTTCTCAAATCAATAGGCTAAAACAGCGCAGGCTTCTTCCTACACTATAGATTCAAATCTCATGTTTGTACAACTGAAATAATGTAGAATGCACAACTAGTCCAATTATATGACCATAAAAAAACTAATTCAGCTCACTGCATCATTGATCCATTTAATTGTGTAGCAGCTTTCTATTGATAACAGGAAATATCCCTGACCTGACCATGCTGAAAATGAAACTGGCCAGTTTTCTACAACCATAAATTCAAATAAGGATTCTACATAATACACAGGGTCTTAAAATCATAGCCAGAGTTTATTAGGTTTTTCTTGGTTTTACTGACCTATTTGCCTTGCAGATGATCTGATTTGCCTTATGCTTCCTGGACTTCGTTCATCATTAAATGATAGCCTATACTTGTACTCATGACTGGGTATTTTGTTTCAGATAGTGATTGTGATAAATTTTAGGCCATCTATTCATTTTGCCCTTGGAAAACATCCAGCAGCCCACAAGCATTATAGGGGATGCTG